AATTTAAATTCTGCTGTTGGTTTTTCTGCAAATCCAGAAAAGACTGGATCTGTTACATATTTCAGCACGAGAATATATTCATCTGATCCATGGCCCACCAGGGTCCTTTCTGCTCTCCCCACCTGAACTCATCACCCAACCTTTCCATTAGTAACCTAGAGCCACAGACAACAGCCTGGGACCCATCCTTAGAGGGTGCCAATACCAAGTAGTTGGGGCAGGGCCATATTTAGGTCCACAGAAAGGATTCTGAAGCTCCACTGGCCTGCTTGAGGGTTGGGGAGTACCCATTGGGTTCCTGCTAAAGAAACAAGAAACATGCAGTTGATGAGGGTTAAAGTTCATTGGTAAGCAGACTGCTGGTCTCCACATGGTGGCCAGCTGTCTGTCTAGAGAGGGTTCTAACATGCACACCCTTCCTTCGCACAGTCTCCCCTTCACCCCATCCCAGCCTCCCCCACCAGCCCCCAGTCAGGCCTGGATGGCAGCAACTCTACACTGTCTGGGAGTGCCAGCAGCGGTGTGTCCTCCTTGAGCGAGAGTAACTTTGGGCACTCCTCAGAGGCCCCACCTCGAACCGACACCATGGACTCCATGCCAAGTCAGGCCTGGAATGGCGATGAAGACCTTGAGCCACCCTACCTCCCTGTCCACTACAGCCTCTCTGAGTCTGCTGTCCTGGACTCCATCAAGGCTCAGCCATGCCGAAGCCACTCAGCCCCAGGGTGTGTCATCGCTCAGGACCCCATGGACCCACCTGCGCTGCCGCCCAAGCCCTACCATCCCCGCCTGCCAGCCCTGGAGCATGATGAGGGTGTTCTGCTGCGTGAAGAAGCTGAGAGGCCTAGAGGTCTGCATCGCAAGGCCTCCCTGCCTCCTGGGAGCACCAAGGAGGAGCAAACCCGCATGGCATGGGAGCATGGCCGAGGGGAACAGTGAGGGGCAGGAAGGAAGCTGCAACACTACCAGTGAGCAGCTTGCCAATTCACTCCGAGTGTGAAAAGCAAGTCCCCCTGCCCCCCAGGGAGCTGGAGAGGCTTGGCCCTCAGGAGAGAACCACCCAAGTCTATGTTCTACTGCCATGAACTCGTGTTGCCATGTTCAGAAGCTGCAGCAGCATGAAGGGTTGTGGCTTCTCTTTTTATTTCATTTTTTGTTTCCATTTCTATGGGTTTTGCTTTCTTTATGCAGTAGATGCTTTCTCCTCCTGTAGTGCCACACCATGTGGCACTATATGGAATTTTACACAGACAGAATTGCTTTGCAACATTGCAGGGCCCACAAGCAGAAGCCCAGGCCCTCCCTCCAGGGCAGAGCTGCACAGAAGAATGAAAATTGCACTAGGGACCTCTTCCTTTGCTATATGGACAGAAAAGTTCATGGTTGCATTCAGGGATTGCAAGGACCACGTGGACTATATGTCACAGGTGGATGAAGGGGTCACAGCCATTTTTGCACAAATGCTTGCCCACCTGCCAGCTCTTCCATTCTGGAGTGTGCAACTGAGGGGCCGGCGGGGCCAACCTGCCAGCACAGGCACATGACTGGCCTAACAGTATGCCCAGGGCACACTGCCAGGCTTCCATGGGCCAGCCTTGTCTATTCCATCTTAGACTTCTCTCTCCATCACTTTTATTTCTGACCATTCACTCCCCTCCACTCATACCCTTAAAACCTGTGGAAGCCTCCATGGTGAATGGATCTGCAGGGTTTATCACCCACCCTCTCAGGCTTGAGTGGAGTCAAAGGGGCTACCCTAACCACTTTCCTCCTTAGGAGAGCTAGGCCCCTCCCTGTTGTGTGAACTAGTGTTAAGAGGCCAGTGGCAGGGTTCAGAAATCCTCTAAGCTTTCAGAAGTAGCCACACTGCCTGCCATCAGCTCCAGAATCAGGTATTTTCAGCACTACCTCTGAGCCATGGGTTTGGCTGCCCAGCCAGGCTTCCAGGCTGTGAGGACATGTGGTCAGGTTCAGCAAGCTCCTGGGTAAGAAGGGTGGGAGGGAACTTCTTTTGGAAGCAGAGCCACATAGGCAGAATTGTCATCTCCTAAGTGGCTAAGTATAGCACCCTGTTCCAGGTCCGTGGGGAACACCACTCAGGGTTCAGGGCAGTGGGCAGGAGGGCAGTTTCTCTAGCTCTCCAGTCTGTTGGGCAGGGTGAAGTGAAGTCTTTATAGGAGACTCTTTCAGGTCAGGGCACTTGGTTTTCCTCTTGGTGTATTATATGCGGGAGAGGGTGGGGTGGGTATAGTAGTATTTTACCAAGGTTCTTTTTAAGTTACTTTAAGTATCTTGAGACAAAATCTCATTTGCTTGAGTTCATATTAGTGATGGTCACATCTTTGATGGTCCAAGACTCCCCTTCTCTGTTGAGCAGGCATGTTGTGCCCCACCCCCAATTTCTCTTTTGCTTGCCCTGGCCCCTGGCCCTTCATCCTTCACTACCCCTTTCTGAAGAGAAAAGACCATTGGTGGGGTTTTTTTGTTTTGTTTTTTTAATGAACAAATGCCAGCTTAACAGACATGCCAGCAAGTAATCAACTGGGATAGAAGGCTCAGTTAATTTTAGGGTGTTTGGGTCTTATCATTGTTAGGCTTTTCCTGATACCATCAGGATCCAATCCAGGCAGTCAGTCTGCTGAGGGTATGAGGTCACTCAAGGCAGCCCATAGCTCAAAGGGTAGGCCTGCTCCTAAACCCAGACTTGCCTTCAGGGTTTAGTCTTTGGACCATATGGGATTCACAGGTGTTAGCAAGTCAGGGGCTAGTACGTAATTTCTTAAGAGGACAGCTACAGATTTTCGGGCACTTCTGAACCTCAGTCCCTGGACAAGCAGTCATCACAAAAGAACACCTACTTTCTGTACTTGGTGGTACAGGTAGGAGTTGGGGAGTATAAGCTGGTTGCCCTTGCTTTATTCAAGATGAAATGAACTTGTTTTCCCTTTCTATTTTCCCTTACTGGATGATATGAACACATTCTGAATCTCTTTTGTTGGAGAATCAACCAGTCTGATGGGAAATGGGAAGCCAGAGATGAATCCTTTGAAAAGATTGTGAAATACTGATTTTCATTCTTTCAAGCTTATTTGTAAATACCTATTTGAATGCTGTGTATTTGTACAGGATTTGAGCAAAAAAATGTATAGAGTGTGATGTCCAATTGGTATTCAGCCCTATAAATGTGTTTTTAACCTCTGGCATTCTGTGCTTATTTAAAAAGAAAAACTTTAACCATTTCTTTTGTGTATTCATATCTAAAGAAAAATTTATTTAACCTTACCTGTACCAGAAAAGCAAAGTTTAAAAAATTTGTACCAATGTCCCTAGAGATATTTTACTGTATATATTGTGGTAGCATGTTCTAAGTCCGACAAGTAATGTGAATTTTAGATGTAAATATCTGCCACTTGACTTCTTCCCCTTCCCTAATTCCTTGACTGCTGTGATGTGAATTAAAGATGAATACCTGATACTGATCCACTGAAGTCACTGAATGGGAGCAGAAATGCCCCCCTCCACCCCATGTCGCCGGGCTCCAAGCCCTCCTAACCCATGGATATCTTTCTGCCTAGTCAGCCCTGCCCCGTCCTGCTTCAAAAGCAGGTAGACCAGAAGAAAACCTCCTCCCGCGCTCTTCTGTTCACCCGTGGGAGGCCAGGGGCCCTGAAGGTTCAGCGGGAAATAAGACGTGGGGTAACCTGCTCCGGAGCGCGTCCAAGAACAGGGACAAACCTCCCAGTCCTGGTCTCCACACTAGGGAGACTGCAAAGCCGCAGCGGCAGCCTGGCTTGATCGGCCTCGAGCCTTCTGGGAAGTCCTAGTGTCCACCCGGACAAGGTCTCCGGCCAGGCAGGGTCCATAGAGGGCTCGCGCGCTCGTGACTGGAACTTCGGGGCCTCGCCAGCGGCCGCTCGCCCCCATTTCCATCGTTAGATCCCAGCTGCCTCCTGAATGCCTGACCTGCACCACGAGTCGGGGCCCTGGGAAGAGCGATCCACAGGGTTTCGCGGGAAAGTACAGTACAACACAAGGGGCATTCAGGGGAAGCTGAGCTGATGTACGGAGGCCACCCATGACGCAAGAGAGCAGCCTCGACGACTTCCGCTGCGAACGCAGCCACTTCCTACGTGCGACCGGACTCAATCAGCGGCCGACAACTGTCTAGGGCCGAAACACCATTAGCCAATGGGGGAGGGCAGCGTGGAGCCGCAGGGCCAGGCTCCGAGGGTTATAAGCCAATGAGAACGCGGAGTGTGGGAGGGCACGTGGGACCTCCACCAATGGCAAATTCCGGCGTGCTGCGAGGACCCGGAGGTGGCGCGGCGCGGCGGGTGCGGTTCAGTCGACCGGCGGCGACGGTGGAGGATGTGGGCTACGCATAGTTTGGCGGTGGCGCTGGCCCTGAGCGTGCTG